ACCAATAAATGCAGGCCGTGGGCATCAAGGGGATCTGTGGAGACTCAGGTCAAGGTTTCTGCAATCTATGTAACTCTTTGTTCTTGCACTTGGGATATGTGACAGGGGATGGGCACAGGCCGTGTTTCTCTCTTAGGTGCCTGTGCAGGTGAGGGATAGCTGGGTGTCCATGGAACGGAGCTCAAGGCAGGGTTTGCCTGGGGAAAACACAACACGTGAAAATCCCTCTGAGCCAGGGCCACTTTAGAATGCCTGTTTGCAAACGCAGATGTGGATGGGTGGGGAAGATTATGCGTTAGGGCTTATCTCTCCCTCTCAGCTGGGTTTCTGTTATCCCTGAGCCCCGTGGTGGGGCCTGGAAAAGACACTGACCTATTCGCTTGGCAGGTTTGATCTGCAGGTGCTCATCTTCACTATTTTCAAGGGGGGAGCCTGCAGATGGTAGGGGTGGGGTGGGGTGGGGGAGGTGGGATGAATTTGATCATAATCCAGGTAGGAAAAAGAAATCAAAACCACAAATCTAAATACAAATTTACAAAAACATAGAATAACTGTCTGGTCCTAACTAAGTAAACCAGGCCAGGAGAATATGCTTAAAAAATTATGACTGATATACCATACACACACACACACGTACTATATGTATTATATCTATACTTTATATATAAATAAATGATACATAGATCTTTGTCGCATAGGACCTTGTGCTGTGCTTAACCCATGGTGTATGGCAAACAATTCTTAAATTTATAGAGTGCTAATTATGGAGTGTAAAATTGTTACACTGTGCTAACAAGAAAATAAATAAGGTTACTCTTCATCCCCAAAGAGCGTAAGATTTAATGGGGGAACGATGCAAATAAGGAGGCCCGCACACAGAAAGGAAGAAAGGAAGTGCATCTTTCATTGAAGGAAAGAGCGTGAGCTGCAGGATGGAGACAGACAATTCCTCCCGCCGGCGCTCTTCCGCTCGGACACCTCTCGGACTCTGTTATGAAGAAATAGCACCAGCCTTGCGCCTTGAGTTTCCCATTTTGCAGCAGAACTCTGTTGGGTCAGGTCTTATGACGTCTTATATACCTGGGCTCAGGCTGACTTGCTATGTTTCCTACAGGTAGTCACTCAGCCACTTGACCGACTCCTGGCAATTAGTCACTTTCAGAAAAAGTTTTTCAGATGCCTTTTAGGGTTCACTTTTGAACGATGGTCCACCTGGTGCCTGCTGCCTGGCTCTGGATGGAGGCCAGAGGATGAGAGCAGCATGAACTCGCCATGGATTACAAGTCCTCTGTTATGACTGGGAGCGTTTGCCATGCTATAAATAACTCTATCAATATTGTGATAATGGCACTTTAAAGAGGTCTATTTTACAAGTGCTGAATGTAAGAGAGACCGCAGCTGCACTCATTAATTCTGAAGTATGCCTCCCTGTATGTAGGACTTGCAGGTGTAACAATAAACGTGTTGACTCAATGAAAGTCTAGATAATGTTTAGATTAAGAAAAAGGTTAGAGTAACATTGTTAGTTTTTCCATTGTGTTGGCATAATGAAAACAAATTATAATAGCTTAATTGGAAATGGGGGAAAAGAGGGCAAAACATAACTTTATTAAAGATTTCAGATGCTTACCAATAGCTCCTCCCCCCTCACGGGCGAGTATCGTAATTGACAGCAGTAGATCGTTGGATAATTAATTGCAGTAAATTATCACTTGGCACAAAGAAGGCATAATTGTAATTAATTTGCAACCTTCCCAGCATAACACTGAATCAGAAATGGCACTGCCATCATTTTTCCAAGGGATGCGGAGGGTAGGAACAGTGTACCCTTTTCCTTTGATGAGCATTTGGAGTTTTGCGGAAAGCCCTGGCTGTAATTTTTCTGGTATGATCTTGACATCTCTGCGACTCTCTTGGGTTAGGGGTGTTTAATTTAGATTGTGGCTGTTAGCTTTGGGCTACGATAGTTTCCAAGAGGTGTCCCCTGCTGAGCTCTGCCATGGCCTCCCATCATTTTAGCCTCCAGTTAGTCACTTAACCTCAGCATCTTTCTGTATCTGTCTTTCCGTATCAGTCTCATTCACTGGGGTGCTGAAAGACCTAATGCATTCAGATCACAGGCATTGTCTTAATATAAAATATTATTATATTCTTATTTGAATGAATTAAGAAAGATTTACCCTCACAATGTTTTTCTCTTTTTCCAGTGCATCCTATTTCTAGGATGATGCAGATTCTAATTAAGAATCTTTGCCACGGTCCAATTTTATAGTGATTGCCACAGATCAAGGTTTAAGCTAATTGCTCAATAATTAATTAGAAACAGAAATGAGGAGTAAAAACTATTTTCGCTGGATTCTAGGGAACTGTTTATATTTCATCAGAGTGCCCGAGAGAACAAATCGTTAAGCTATAAAAGATTACATCTGGGTTAGAACTAAAGTCAAGAGGGTTGATTAAGCCAAACGCTGGCCCAGAGATGACTACCATGGTACACTACACCGTGGGCCGCAGGCTTTAGGAGCTCGTGGAACCTTCTCTTGTTACATGTCCACTTGGGGAGATGCGGAGGACCATACTTCTGACAATGGGCAAGAAATTGTTCTACTTAGTTGCTGGTCATAAAAAGAAAGATAAAGATCATGATCTTATTTCAGGGAGACCCCATATCACAGAAATAAACTTTATTACTATTTTTAAAAACATATTTTTTTGTTGATTTTAGAGAGAGAGAGAAACACTGATGAGAGAGAACGTCGACTGGCCGCCTCCTGCACGTCCCCCACTGGGGATCGGGCCCACAACCTGGGCATGTGCCCTGACCGGGAATCGAACTGGCGACCTTTCAGTACATGGGTCGACATTCAACCACTGAGCCACACCGGCCAGGCGTAAAAATAAACTTTATTAAATTATTTTGGACACTCTTCAAAGGTCTTCTCAGCCCCATTGTTATAAATGCTGAAATATAGCCAGAGCCCTCCACTGCTGCCCCGCCAGTGAGTTCAGGTTTGACCTACATGTAACACCTTCTCTGGGGGTTAACAAATCATTCGGGCTTCATGCAAGTTTCCCCTTCTCAAAAAGCAAAGCCTTGAGTGACCCCCGCTACCCTGCACCCTGCCAGTAACGTCTTCCAGTTGGGTTGAATTAGTCATGATAGTTTTACTGTGTGAGCTAATATTCACAAGTGTCGGAGTTCAAACCACCCAACATATTTCACAGGAGACTTCAAACTGAGCTCAAGCCTTAGCCCTAGTTGCCAAAGGTCCTGATGTGTATTTCACTGGACTCCCTATGTGGATACCTAAAGCACCTCAGAGGACATCCAGGCCCCACCTGCACGTGCTGTGTTTTGTGCCCACAAACCTGAGATGTTAGACTCTTCACTGGAAACAGATCTCGGGTTTCCTGATCTCCAGCTGTAACATGGCTTCCATGGAGCAAATGGAGGGAAGACATTTCTGACAGGCTTTGATTTGAAAAGGGGAGTAGACTTAATCCGTGTATCCTCCAAGGAATACAACCAAGATTCACGAATGGATGCTTCAGAGCGGTAGGTTTTAGCTAACGGAAGAATCATTTTATCAATAACAGTTGTCTAACAGGCAAAAAGATGCCCATCGCAGGAACTGTGAGCAGAGAGCGAGATCAATAGGCAGGCAGGGTAAAAGGGATTAAGGTGGGATTTGGGAGGGGTGTAGACGGCTTTAGACTATGTACCTTTAAGGCCTCTTCTAATTTATATATATATATGTGTATATATATTTTTTGGCCGTTTGCATGACACATGAAAGCAAGTTAAAATGAAAGACAACACCTGAGGCTCAGGAGTCTTTTCCCTGCTCTAGAAAATGGGCATTGCCATTGCTCAGTGGGTGGGCGTTCGGCCCCTTGCTGAGGGCTTTCTGAACTAATTTATAGTTCTTCAGGCCAAATCATTGATAAGTTAATGGTTAAACGGAGGTCATTCATTTATTCTTTCAGACATTCATTCATGCAACAAACGTTCTGCAGCATCCCCAGGTGCCAGGCTACCCAGGTGTCCCACGCTCTGGAATCACTCAGGTGTAATCTCTGCCCCGGGGCTGTCCTTGGTCAGGCTGGCCAGTGTGCCTCCATTTGTCGGGATTTTGACTTCTCATTCTGACTACTGTCCAAAGGAAGGAAAGTACATTAGCTAATGAGAAAAGAATAAGCAAAACTCCCTGAATCTATATAAGGTTTGGCTCCTGCCTGCCTCCCTAACCTCGTCTCATGACTCTCACCGTTGTTCTTTCCCTCCAGCCCCCCAGCTTCTTTCTTCCACTTCTGTAGACACTCTACACTCTTACCATTGCAGGGTCTCAACTCATGCTGCTCCCGGGCCTCACCCGGCCCCGAATCCTTTAGCTCTGGAACACACTTCCTCAACCACGTCCTCCCTGCTCCACCCATCCAAAGCAGCCCCGCCCACCACCGAATGCTCGCTGGACAGCTGGTAGTTTTCTTCTGTAGTGCTTAATAATAGTTTCAAAATATTTGAGCATATTAAACAAATTGAAATGTGATTCCCTTGTCTGCAGAATTCCTGAAACATCAGTTGAATCACAGTTTGAGATTCAGTGGTAAAGACTGGGCTACAACCATAGCACCTCTTGGAAGATAATCACATTTAAAAAGAATACTACGGTAATAATAATGTCTTACAGTATATGCATGCTATGGTTTCCATGTATTTTAACACCCATTTTTCTTCTGTTCCTCAAAGCTGACTTAGGTGGTTGGCTTCATGGCTCTCTCATCTCACAGATGAGTTGCAGGGCCCGCGGAGCCAGTCAGTGGCAGAACTGGCCTGAAAAATCAGATCTAACTCTGGTTCAAGGTTCACCCTGTCCTCACTGGCGAGCTCCTCCTTCAGTGTTTTACATGTACATCAAGGTATACACAGCCACGCGCTTATACGGGCACTGTTTTTATTTTCTCCACTGATTGTCCTCTTTATCCTATTCTTTCATCAGAAGCCCCCATTCTCCAGCCTCCTGGGTGCGGCGAGGCTGAGTCGGGGTAAAGGAGGAGAACTGCAGTGAGCCCTGGGACCGCTCTGTTTTGGAGTAAGCACATTCCTGTCGTCCGTTGGAACTGGAAGGGGATTATGTTGTCCTGTGAATTTTTGACCTGTGCTCTGTGGAGCTTTAAAGTTAGTGCTGCTCCACTGCACAGGCCCCGGGGGCACCTCCCACGCGGCATTCCCTGTGCATGGCACCTCTGCAGAGCTGTGTGTCTGCCGGAGTCTTAGGGACTGCCGAGGTCGCCCTCACTTCATTCCGACCAACTCTGCTTGGATCTCTTTTGTATACTGAGCTTCTGATAAGATTCCACTTGAAGAAAGGGCTCTGCTCCATAAAAAGGGACCACTTAAACCCTCAGTATTTAACAACGCACCAGCTGAGGCTTGGGCAGCTAAATGACCTATTCGGGCTCCTATGACCAGAGAAGGGAAGAGTTTGGGCTTGAATTCAGACCTCTGGATCCAAAGCTCACACTCTGGCCTCTATCCTGGGCTGCCTGTCTAGACACATGGCAAGTTAGGTGCTATGGTAGGAAGTGAAACTGGGTAGACTCTTGGAAGAAACCTTCGGAAGTGGAGGGATGAAGCTTGGGATGCTCCAAACTAGCCACACTCTGGGACCCTACCTGCCTTGGCTAGACATGCTCCTTCCTTTGATCTGCCCTGAAAACGTGCTCCTCCCCGTCCCTCATCCCAGCCACCTGCTAAGCCCTCTCCACCTCTCCCAGGGAGGACGTTCTCTCTCAACTTTGAGGGTAGTAGAGAGGACCACCAAGGTCCTTTCTCTGTTTCTGAAAAATTGCTGGTGTGCGAATTACTCAAACTCTCCCTTGCCCTCTGGATTGAACCCAATTTAGACCTTGCACTCGGCAGTGACCTGTGTCTGTCTCTGGGAATTTTCAACACCTCAGATGGCCTTTTTCAAAGAATGAGAATGTTTGTTATTGCGGTTGTTCTTGACCATTAGCAATAGCAAAAAGGCCAACTAGTCTGAGAGGCTCTTTTATGCTTTTTGCTTTGGAGTGAGACAATCATTCTCCTTTAACCTCATGATTTCACATGCGTGGTCCTGGGAGAGCTTGTGGAACTGGGACTGAAGAAGGATTTCTGGGGGTATTCAAACCTAGGCAAGCACAAATACCCTTAACACAAAGAAAGAAATTTACTCTCAGTGTGTCTAGAGTTCAGAGTCAGCAAATGTTACTAGCTTGAATGACTGACTGTTACTCTATCTTAACTCACCAAGTCCCCTGACAGTGCTGACAAAATCGGTTTCTACCGTGTTAGATGCTCTGGCTAGAGGATATATTCACTGGACATTAGGTGGTGTCTCCCCACCCCTAGAATGGAGACCAGACAGACTCAAATGTCCATTTCATGTCTTGTGCAAGTACTAAACCCTCCCTGAGATGAGGGAGCCTTGCCTGGAGTCTCCAGTTTTAACTCCATCACCTCCCTTCATGGATATTCTTACTACCCTGCACACGCGTCTGGCCCTCCACCACACTACTGAGATCTGAACTCTGCTCTTTCTCCTGCTTTCTGTCAGGAAGGCCACCCCACAGCAAGGCATCTGGGCACAGAGCAGGCTTTCCTGAAAGTAGAGGAATGGGAGGGATTTTGACTGCAGCAACACAGACACTTAAATCTGACCATTGGGCTCCAATCTTCTGCCAGGTGGCAGAGCCTCCCATGTCCCCATCTGTCTTCTGTCCCCTCTCCTGTCCACTCCATCACCTCTAACAAACAACAGAACCAACACGTCCCATTTCTTTATGCAGCGATGTTAAACCTTTACCCCCAAATTCAGACCCAAACTCATCAAGGTCCTTAGCAGAACCAAAGACCTTTGATGTGACAAGATGTTTCTCTCCTTAGAAATAAAAGTGCACAAGGGAACAAAAATTGCCCTTGGTTCCATATGGAGTCAGTGTAGGGTAGATGTGACAGAGGCCTTTGGTGGGTGTTGGCTGGCACAGGAAACCCTGGTTCCCAGGAAAAAGGCCTGTGCTCATAGGCATGACGAGGAGGGGCAAGGGCGTGGGGTCTCTGCAGGCCAGTGGCTTCCCTTTTGCTGACATTGCGTTCTGGGCTGCTGTTGCCATTTGCTCTCTGGAAAGGGGACTGCAGGAAAACGTGCCCTGCTTAGAAATGACAAGCTCACCGAGCCTTGCTGGAGACTGGGGATGGCTGCCGAGCGGCAGGTACACCCCGAGGATGACCCTGCCCGGAGACTGCGGCCTGAGTCAGCAGTGATGATTGTCACTGACATGAATGAGTGTGCTCCTGTGCTGGGCTGCCTCCTCACAACCCCCTCCCCAGGAGATGGGAACTTGAAAGATGGTCGATAGGTGTACGTTCAAGTGGCAAATCCAAGTGCAAGAAGCAGCAGGAGCTAGTAAAATGTACACAAGTAGGGTCAGGAGACACTGTTCTAATCCTGCTGTGCCTCCTAATTGCCGAGTGACCTTGGGTAAGTCATTGCTTTCCCTCCAGCCTTCATTCCCTTACTGCAAAATGAGGGGTCTTGGTTCTCAAAGCGTGTTCCTCAGGATCCACGAGGCTTTGTGTGAGGGTGGAAAAGTGAGGGGAGGAAGAGTCCCCAACCAGGGCAGACCTGGTTTTCCCTGTGTCATGGCTGGTGTGAAAGATTTTTCTTTGCATAAAGGATTTGGCCATAAAAGAAGTCTGAAACCACCCCTCTGAAGGATGGCTGTCCACGCCTCTCGGAGGGCTGACATTACGGGATTCTAGATAGAGGACTGGAAGAAGAATGGCGGCTGGGAAAGACGCAAGCATAAGACAAAGAAATTCCTGCCATAAATAACTCCCTGGCCGATCTCTCTTAATCTCTGAAAGTTTAAAGATTTAAAATCTACTTAAACCAAAAAAAACCCCCGAAAACTGCAGTTCTCAGCAAATAAAGATTACTTTAAATTTCAGGTTTGTTACACTCACAAATCACCCATACAGTACATTCTAAATAAAAAACGAATAACTCTCTTTGTGAGAAGCGCCCCTTCCAGAGGCCACGTATAAGGCATTAACCTGCACTGGGGGAAAATAATACTAGTGATTTCCAAATTACACTCATTTTAGAAACAAACTTAAATAAATGAATTTGGCCAAATGCAGCCTGCTTATTTTCTTATTTCCTCTGCATTGAAATGCAGGGTAATATTTTTCTGCCAGCAAGTATTGGAAACAAAATCACTTAGAGCCATACTTAAAGAGAACATTTTAGAATCTTTCACAAAATTAGTTTGGTTACATTTCCAAAGCCTTTGCTCTTTATAGTGCTTAGAAGAGTGGGAGAGGGGTTGGGGTAGAGAGGGTGGAAGGAAGAGGGACCCAAGGCTATGGGCTCAAGGGCATCAAATTCAGGGAACTTAGCAGTCACCTAAGCTCCCCCTAACCCCCATCAAATACTTCTGTGTCTGCTTGTAACCTTTCTGCCAGGTGCTCATCCTGCCTCTAGTGGCCCTCTGGCTATTAGGAAATGCCTGGCACATAGTAAGCACTTAATGTTTGTGAATTAATGCAAATATTCTACCCTCTGTTTCTCACCCATTGGTGTCCTGGTCAGCCAGTTGGGACAACATTCTTTCAAGGGTAACTCAAAGCGTTCTTTCTAGAGAGATGGTTGAGACGTGCTGACTGGAGGGAGGTGAGAAGCCAGGGACATGCTTTCTCCCTCCTCCCGTGCATGGCACCGAGCGGCAGAGCTAACTCAGTGTATTGGCTCAGGCTGGAAAGGCAGAAGTCAGCTGAAGCACACGGCTGACAAAGGCAGGGAGGGAAGGGGCCGAGGACATGGCTGCAGCAGGGAAGCTGGAAGGAAGCCCTAATTCTAGTCCTAGCTGGGGACCCTCCTAGACCACTGACGCTGACCGAGCTTCCATTTCCTCAGCTGCAAAACGAGAATAACAATGCTCACTGGGAAGGATAGGGGTGAGGATTCAGTCCAGGAACATTACCGAGTACCTACTGTTTTCTCCGAACTATGCTCTACCCCTGCCTTCAAGGAGTTCACAGTCTGAAGAGGAGACAGACAAGTAAAGAGACCATAGTAACGTCCTGTGGAAAGTGCTGCAGAGTCCGGACGAGGTGCTGGAGGCTTGCAGGGGAGGAGCCTTAGTCCAGCCAGCGGGTGGGGAGTGGGTCAGAGCTGACTTCTTGGAGGACAGACAGATGAAGGGAGGGCTGTGATTTGGGTTGGGAGTGGAGGAAGCCAAAGTGGTAGGCAGGGCTGAGATCAAGAAAACCCTTGTCCGTTATGCTAAGGACCTGGATGTCATCTGGGTGATGGCGAGCCACGGAAAGGCTTGGTGTAGAGATAAAGTTTGCTAATGTATTGGAAAGCACCTGGCACATAGCAGGCTCTCAATCAAGGCTCATTTAAACATTTTGAGCTGAGCTCATTTTATTTTCCCCCCAGGAGAGTCCCTGCACTTCTTTGCTTTATGCATATGAAAGAATTCATGCTAAGAGAGACTGAATGCTGTAAACAGAGCACTGGACCCGGAGTTAGTAGTGAGCCCAGGCTCCCTGCTTCCTTCCTGTCTGATCTTGGGAAATCCACTTAATGTATTTGATATTCAGTTTCATGATCTCTAAACTGGGATTAACAGCACCCTCCCCATCCACTCAGAGGACTGTGAAGGGTCACTCGCTGTGCCAACATCAGGGGAGGGTGTTATATTTTTGTGTGGCTCCTTAGAGGATTCTGGGATTCTCAGATCGTAGGACAGGGAAGGCGTGAGCAGGCAGCGCCGTGAGAGTTTGGGAAGGGGGTAAATACCTTTCTTCCTTTACTCTCTTAACCTGCACCTCCCCAGTGAGTGAAATGTATGCCGAGCACATCTCGAGATGGCTGAGCAGAGTGGCTGAGGACGGAAATAGCCCTGCTGATTTATGAGCAGGAGGCAGATTTTCTTTAATATCGCAACACAAGAAAGTCAGGTCTCTTAAATAATAGGGCTCGCAGATTTATGGCTGTGCTGCATGCTCGCCTCAGTGCCGTCTCTGGCCGCAGACGGTGCTTTGCTCTGGAAAGGCTGAAGTCAGCAACTTCCCCGACGTGGGGAAATAGATCCAGTGGCAGCAGCCAGTCCCTGGGTCAGCTGTTTTCAGCGAGGGCCCCACTCCCTCCCACCCCTTTGTTATGTGTTGTCAGGACTCTGGGACCTTCCCAGCAGGCCTGGGGCTGGCTAGGGTCTTAGAAGCCAGAAGTGCAGCAGAGAGAAAGGGCTGGCTCTTCTAGGCATTATTTGGGAGACACCAGGGAGGTTCAACATTGCTTTTGCCTGTGTCTATTGGTGTTAGGTGTCTGGGGTAAGAATTCCTCTCCCCTTGGGACTTTTGGAAAAAAAAAAAATGCAAGTATTCCAGGAAGCAAGAAAAACACAATAAGTCACTAATTCTTTAATAATAATAATAATGTACTTATTCTACAAGTATTTAGATAGCACTTATAACTCAGGCACTGTTCTAAATGCTTTACAATGATGAACTACTTTAATTCTCTTAACAACCCTCTGAGGTAAGACTGTTATTGTCACCATTGTACAGATGAGGAAACTGAGGTAAGTGTCTGAAGTAAATGGCTTGTCCAAGGTCACAGGGCTAGTGGGAGGTGAAGACAGAATTTGAACCTGATGGTCTGGCTTCGTTGTCCATATGCATAACCACTATGCCCTAAATAACAGTACAGCACCAGTTACAGAGCTATAAATATTCTCGGAGCACTGTACACTGGGCATTGGGCTAAGTGCTTTTCATGCATCTCCTTTTATCCTCACATAACCCTGCAAGGCAGGTACCATTCTTTTTATTTTATTTTTTTTATCCTCACCCGAGGACATTTTTCCATTTTTTGTTCAGATAGAGTGGGAGGGAAAGAGAGGAAGAGAGAGAGAGAGAGAGAGAGAGAAACATTGACGTGAAAGGAACACATCGAGTGGCTGCCACCCGCACTACCTAACCAGGGCTGGGGACAAACTGCAATCGAGGTACGTGCCCTTCGCGGGAACCCAACCCGGGTCTCTCCGGACCACAGGCCGACGCTCTAACCACTGAGCCAAACTGGCCAGGGCAGGTACTATTCTTATTGTTCCCATTTTACAGATAAGAAAGCTGAGCACATAACTTGCGGAGGATCACTTAGGTAGCAAATGGCACAGTTGGGATTTAAACTCAAGCAGTCTGACTCAAGAATGTGTTGGTTAAATGTGAATGTGGTGATGGAGTTTCTTTCCATGTGCTCTTTGCAAAGGAAGCGAGACAAAGAGGGAGGCAGCTGTTAAGGGTGAGTGTGAGAATAAAACTATACCTACCTTAGTTTCTGCCAAGTGATGGCTCCATTGGTCTTGCCACCAATAAGGCCATTCAGGTTTGGTGGACAAAGGCTGACCAAGACCCATGGGAACTGCACAATGTAATGAGCAGCCAGGCTCCTTGCACACCTCTGTCAACAGAGGCCACTTGGCTTCCTTTCCACCCCCACCCCTTCTTCTTGCACAACAGTTCTTCCAGCTATCAGAAATCATTTCTATCTCAGGGTCTTCCATCCTACCCTTGAGACCAACCCCACTTCTTCTGCTCCAGTGCTGGTACCCGAATCCCTGACTTAAGCAACCACGTTGATGACCTGTCCATGTCCCCCTTCCTGGAAGTCCAGCCCCTGCTTTGCTTTCTCCAGCATCCTGAATGCGGAGGGTTGGTCAGACCTTCAGGCCTGAGAACAGGCTTGCTCTATACTAGCTGTCAAACCTGACCCGCGCTGATAGGGCATCTGCTTTCATTCCTTCATCCGTTTGGTGCACATCTGCAGAGCTGAGAGAGCACCTACTGTGCGCCGGGCACTGTGTGAGATGCGGGGGACTCACATGCATGAGAACTGGTCTCCCAACTCACAATTCAGTGGGGAGAAGACAAATCCGCCATTACAGTGCAGTGGATGAAATGGTGTGGTCGCTGTGAGCACGTGGCATTGTAGCAGCAGAGAAGGGGAGTCTGAAATCACATGGGGTGTGTGTATGTGTGTTCGTGTGTGTGACTGGGGGCGAGGGAGGCAGAGGAACATGGAGAAAGGTTTGGCCTTGACACAACCTGGTTTTTTAATGTTGCGGGAGGTGGGTGAGGAAGGACAGGGATCAGTGTTTTGCACAGAGGGAAAAGCAAAGATGAAGTTGCTCAAATTTGAAACTGCACGGCAAGTTTGGGAAACTCTTATCAACCTGGCATGGCTGGAGTCAGGGGTACAGGAGGGGACCTAAGAGAGTGTGGAAGGTAGGTGAGAGAGCAGGATGGGCCTTGTGCAGGATGAGATACGGAATCTGAAGTTTGATGGCGTACCAGCAGGAGATTGGCGTGCTCACTGCCTGCTCTCTCAGCTGCCCATGGCTTGCTGAGGCATGACCTAGTGCTCAATCCCCCTGCTTGCTCCAAATGCCCCATATTATTGTTCTCCATTGGCCGCAGACCAACTGTGTCCCACCCACTAGTTTGGACTTCCTGAGGGCGGACCAGATGCTTGCCCATTCACAGTCCCGGTGGGCTCTGTTTGGGTGGCCCACCACCTCTGGGAGAAGGAAGAGCAAGGAACCAAGAGGGCAGGAACAGAGAGAGTGGGGGGAGAAGAGTTAAGATACATGATAAGGAAGGAAACACAAGGCACAGCGTGAGGGCCTTGTAGGCCAGTGTAAGGACTTAACCTGTGCTTTTATTGGGATGGGGAGCCATTAGAGGGTCTAAGCACAGACATACATAATCTGAGTAATGTTTTTAATAGGATCATGCCAGCTGCAGTGTTGGGAAAAAACGCTGTAGAATGGCCGATGTGGCTCAGTGGTTGAGCATTGACCCATACATCAAGAGGTCGCCAGTTCAATTCCCAGTCAGGGCACATGCCCAGGTTGTGGGCCCGATCCCCTGTGGGGGGCATGCAGGAGGTGGCCATTCGATGCTGTCTCTCATCGATGTTTCTATCTCTCTGTCCCTCTCTCTTCCTCTCTCTCTAAAAATCAATAAAGAAAAAAACATAAAACAGAACACTGTAGAATGGCAAG